CAAATAGTGCTGGCACAACTGGATGTCAACCTGTAGAAGAATGAAAATAGACCCATATCTATCACCTTGCACAAAACTCAAGTCCAAATGGATCAAAGACCTCAACATCAATCTGAACACACTGAACCTGATAGAAGAGAAAGTGGGAAGTACCCTACAGCAGATGGGCACAGGAGATCGCTTCTTAAGTATAACCCCAGCAGCACAGACATTAAGGGCAACATTGAATAAATGGGACCTACTGACACTGAGAAGCTTCTGTAAAGTAAAGGACACTGTCACTAAGACAAAAAGGCAACCTACTGACTGGGAGAAAATCTGCTCTCTACCTCTTGCAGAGAACCCCATTCTATTTTCCTATTTTACCATACAGTCGTTTGTCTTGTTGGAAGGAACAGCTTATAAACATAATGGTATGTGATGGACTTTCAGTCAGTAGAGTTAAAAAAACATAATCATAGCAGTCTTTTTATATTACTCAGTGCTTATCCATGTATTGTTAAGGCAATGACAGTGACATCCCATTGATAGAAGTCAGAGGTGCTGACCCAAATATAATGATTTTCCAAGTTCTACCGCCTGTCAGAATTTTACTGATCTTACATATTAAAGGAGCAAACTAGGGTCAGGCAGGTTCTAGTCCTAACCTCAGTCACTATGATCTTCCTAACTCTTCTTGCTTGCTTATTCTGACCCTCATAGGGATTATTCAGCAGTGTACTATGTTCAAACAAGTTATCCTGAGCAGGTTTGTTAATTGATCATTCACTCTAAATATATATATAGCATCCCAAGCATGGTATATGTTGACACTCATTACAAATATGGAAAGGTGGTTCTTCCCTGATTTGTTGCCGCAACAAACAAGTTCTTTCTTAAGACTTTTACAGAAAAAGAATCAGTTTATTCTATAGACAGACAACAGTAGTGCTGGGAAAAATTTCATAAGTTTATCATCTGATGAAAACACATGAACTATGTTTATACATTTGGGTAATAAATATTTTAAACAAATGATCAATAAATACTTTTTAAAGTTTTCAGCATATTGATCTATTAGAGAAACACAAATTGAAAAATACTGTGAGGTTTTATTTTATCCTAGTAAGAATGATATTTAATAGGAAAACAAATGACACCAAATTTTGTTGATTAATTGTAGAAAGGAAAATTATATACATAGTTGGAGAGAGTGTGAATTGTTGTAGTCTCTATAAAATTTCATCTACAATTTCCCCAAAAACCTGAGAATACATTTATCTTGTGAAATAACTATATTATTGCTGGGAAGACACTTAAAGATTCTTACTGAAAAGATACCAGATTATTTCTGTGAAATGTCACCCTCTTCATAGCAGCTAATAGCTGGAATCATTCTAGAGGCCCATCAATGGATGAACAGACAGTAAAGCTGTGTTTGAAACCCATTTTTTTTTGTTCTGTCTGTACAGGCACTCAGCTTCATGCTCCATTTCATTAAACTTGTTAGATCTGTAATGGAAGATTCAACAAGCATATAGGATAGTCAATTTTATTTCATTCAAACTGTTGTTTGACTGTTTCAAATTGCAGATGTACTTGATGATCCTGTCTTGTGGACTATTAGTTTAAGATGCATTACATTCATTTATGCTTTGGATTGTTTGTTTAATTTTGCAAAGATATGCTGCATTCTTTACGTTGCATTTGTTTGACTCCATAAAGCTTGTTACTTTACATGACTAAATCTCCTGATTGGTCTATTAAAGATCTAAATGGCCAATTTCTAGTCAGGAAAGAGAAGTCAATGTGACTGTTAAACAAGAGAGTAAATCAACAATATTTGGGAACATTTATATTTAAAGGGTGATATGATATAGATATGAATAATTTGCATTGGTATGGATCTTGGTTTATTGATACATATTTAGGGTCAATTTTCTTATATGTATATGCATTTCTGATCTTTACTAAGGTATTGTGATTATGCAGTTCATTTTAAAATGCAATGTAATATTAAGAAGTATAGGTTAATAGATAATCATCTATAATAGTCAAGTTTGTAGTCATGTTAGTTAGATTTTCTAGATGTACAGTGACGTATTTCAGTTATATAGGTATTTTTCATATATTCAGAGACCTTCAAAATATGGCATTTACAGTCTCTTAATAACTTAGGAATTTTCATGACAATGAGATGCATCTGCTCCTGGCAGCACCACCTACTTCAAGAAAAACATGGACATTGAACAGGATCCTTATGGCATTTGCTAGTCAACTGGGCAAAAAAAAAAAAAAAAAAAAATCTGCTCTTGCTTGGACTGCATAACTTAACAGGCAAAACCCACAGAGAGATGACTGCTAAACTTGCCTAAAGATGAGATGATCCTTCAGGGTTCCTGCTTCATGAAAGAGTCTTAACATTCTGCATGACACAAAAATGTGACTAACAAACTGCCAATATAGGCAGAACTGTCTGTAAAATTTCCTGGTTCATAAAAGAGTCTGCTGGATACTATGAGCCAATAGGCTTAAGAGAGATGCCCCAACATTACAAAAGAACTTTGGATAAATGTCCAGGCAGCAAAATGTCTCTGTCAAATCTAGAATTTTGAAAGGTGTTTATAATGTATTTCCTGTTTACCTAGGTAATGTTATATCCTCCTGGAGTTTTTAGTGGAGTTAAAAAAATTATAGTTATAATTTCCTTAGTTATGATAAAATATAAAGTTGATATAAATATTATAACTGTGATTCTTGCTTGATAACTGCTTTGTTATATGTAATTTTACTATGATAAAGTTAAAGCCTTCCTTTTTGTTTAAACAGAAAAGGAAAAATGGTTTAAGAGGTCCTTCTGTTTGTGTGTTGCTTTCATCGGTTAATGAATAAGGAAACTGCCTTGGCCTAGTTGATATGGCAGAACTTAGGTAGGCAGAGAAGACAAAACTGAATTGTGGGAGGAAGAAAAGCAGAGTAGAGGGACACCATGGATCCATGGCCAGAGATAGACGTGGTAAATTTTTTCTGGTAGGCCACTACCTTGTGGTGATGTACAGATAGATAGAAATGGGGTAAATAAGGATGTGGGAGTTATCCAATAAAAAAGCTAGTGCTAACTGGTCAAGCAGTGTTTTAATTAATACAAAAAAAGAGAATTAGTAGATGGAGAAAGTTAGGAAAGAGTGGGAGGAGTGAGGAAAAGAAGAGAGGAGGATACAAATGAGCCAACCACACAGCCACAGTCAGTGCTAGAATAGGAAGAAAAGAAAAAGATATAAAATAAAAAAGGTTAAAATCCTAGAGGCAAAATATAAAGTGAATCAGAATAATCTATGTTAGAAAATATGGAAAGAAGTTAACAAAACTAAGACCAACATTCACAAATAAGAATAAGTCTCTCTGTATTTATTTGGGAGTTGGGTGGCAGAACCCCAAATAGTTACAAATTAAGTTCAACCACAATACCTAAGCCGAAGGGATTGAAGTCAAGAGGATATATCTCCTGTAGAAATACAAATAGTATAGATAGTAGTGGATGCATTGGACGATTGTTGGAAGGGAGAATCAAAGGAGGGAGAAATGGAAAGAGAAGAATGGAATAAGGGGGAAAAGCTAAAAGTAAGAACCATTTAAGGGATAAATTAGAAACTTAATACTGTAGAAGATTCTAAAGAAGAAATATAAACACAAAGATAAGTTAGAGCTCCTTTGATTTCTAGTGATTTCCAGCCGGCATTATATGCTAGGTCAATGATAGAGAATACTTGTTTGAGTAACCAACAATATCTGCTTTGCTTAAGGCTCTTCAAAGAAATGGAACCAATCCTCTACAACAATTGAGGGACCAACATCTGAGAATAGATACTTTAGGAAACAACAGTAAAAATAAATATCATTCTTTTAAAAAATAACATTGCATTAAAATGACTCTCTATAATATTCTGATACATGCAAAGATCAGTGGCTTCCTCAGGCATGAGCTGAGGAGATTCCTACTGCAGCAGATTGGAAGAAATACAGAGACTGAATATTCTGAGAGTGAGATACCTTGGGACATTCAGTACTATACAAGATGTCTTCATCAAATCCATGGTGTGAAGAGTTCTCAGCTGCTACTCTCAGAATGTCCTTACATTCCACAAAACAGATGGATTAAGAATTAGGTGTGGTCCCTTTACAAAAACAATATGTCAATGGTCAAATTTTATAGGAAAGTTAGAAACTTGGAGGCAGACTTTTCTTTCTCCAGTCTGCATGGAATCAAATAACATAAACTGAGAATTAATAAAAGAAATTAAAATTGTCGCCAATTTCCCTGGATTGTTACTAACTTTTATTTATATTAAAACATTTCTATGACTCTCTATGTTGCCACATAGCTCTTGTCTTTACCTCTCCTCCATCCTGTACCCTCTGCATCTTCTGATGACCTCTTCTAACTCTGCCCTACATCTTCTCAGAATTCTCCTGGTCTTATTCTTTTGCATTATCTTTCATACGCAGGTATATACCCATCATCATTTTAGGAACCCGTGAGAATAATACATATTTAAAGTGTGGAAAAATTGTTACACATCAGAATCCCATCTCATGGGTGAGGAAAGGAATAACATTAGTAGCAGTGTGGGCATACTAATCAAAAATCAAGAACTCAGGAAATGTAGTGTGAGCATAAGGTTGGCACTGAGTTGTGACCTAAAAATACAGGAAAAGACGAAATTGATGAGAGGGTAGGCTAGGAAGTAAATGTGGGTTCATGCCAAGATGTGTTTACTATGATGAGTGTAGTACCCATGATCTCTTATTCCAGACTCTATCTGTAGGAAGTCAGAGACACTGTTGACCAAATTGGAATAACCAAGTAGGTAGTATCCACCTCCAATTTATAAAGTCTAGCCTGACTTGTCTCATGCAAATGTATCTTCTAGCTCTATGTTAAATCCCCTCCTGTACTGTGGGAGCTCACATCTGTCTCACAGGAGGCCAACCTCTGAAGAAAAGCAGGTATATCCTTGAAAATGAAACTGTTTGATCTTCTTTACCTGGTGACAGCCCTTCCTGGTGCATGTTCCCACTTCATACATGTGTCAATGTGTTGTTCTGACAACATGTGATTGACAGAACTCTTTTTTTTTTTTTGTCTGAGGGAATTCTGTCCCAGATTCAGCTTCAGGAGTCAGGACCTGGCCTGGTGAAGCCGTCACAATCACTGTCCCTCACCTGCTCTGTCAATGGTTACTTCATTACCAATGGCTACTACTGGAGCTGGATCAGACAGTCCCCAGAGAAGAAGTTGGAGTCGATAGGGTACATCAATAGTGGTGGTAGTCCTTATTACAACCCGTCATTTAAGAGCTGCACCTCCATCACAAGAGAAACATCCAAGAACCAGGACTTCTTGAAGCTGAACTCTCTCACCACTGACGACACAGTCACATATTACTGTGCAAGAGACACAGTGTGGGAATTTCAGCATTAGCCCAGACACAAACCTCCCTGTGGAGGACCTCTGGACCAGCAGGGGATGCTTAGTCCAAACTGAGCTCAGGAACTTTAAAATTTCAGGCAGAGAAAGAAAAACACTTGGTTTTCTCTGGTTTATGTTCTAACTGCCTAAGAACAGAGAAAATAGAGGATGACTTGTTCCTGATTTTTGTGGAAATGCTTAGAAATTCTTGAAATTTCAGTTGATATTTGTCGATAACTTCCAGTATATTGCACTTCTTATGGTGAAGTATATTCCTTGTGTTCATAGAGTCTCGGGACATTTATCATGAAAAGGTTTAGAATTTGTTAAACTCATTTATCACTCTAGTGATATGAGCAGGTGGATTTTGTCTTTTAGTCTGATTGTGTGGTGGATTACATTTGTATCTTTACATATTTAGAAACTTCACTTCATCTCCGGATTGACGTCTACTTGCTCATGGTAGATGATATTTTTCCTTTATTCTTTTATTAAATTTATGTATTTTATTACAAATTTACACACTAGAGTTGCCCTTTCTTATCAGAGTCCTAAAGTCTTATTTTTAAGTCTCCTTATAATAGCAGACATACATCCCAGCATAGATATGGGGCAGAGACAGATCCAGCCAGTTTAGGAGGTGACGGAAATGCCTTTTGTAAGGGTCAGGCACTGTGTATATGATTTCTGCCTTGTTGAAGTTGCTGAAAGTCCCCTTCAGGATACACTAAGTTCATATTTGTCCAGGAATAACATATTCCCTCTTATGTTTTACATAATAGTCAGATGGCCTGAAAAGAAAGTTGATTTAGTTTCTTGATAATTATTTACAATTTTCAATATTGTAGACCTCAAGAATAACAAATATCACTAGGTCTAAATTTGGATAACACTTCACAGATGTGGCATAGGACAATTTAGAGATGAAGTTACATCCATAAATAGACCTTGGGATGACCTCCTATACAAACATTTCCTGCACTGCAGTGCGAGCCTAGATCCCATACTTAAATGGACACCTCCTATATTTACAGGAACATCCCTGGGTCTGTCTCAGTCCAGCTGTGAAATCTGGAAACACAGGCTGGGTGACATGCAGAGCTTTTGTTACACTCCACACACTTTGTGCTGCAATTCTGGGTGTGGGTATTCAGCAAGATTCAGAACAGATTAATACGCAATTAGTATAATAGGGTCACCAGGGCCCTATTCACAGCTGCTACAAGGTTTTCAGTGACTGGAAGACTGATAAATCCTGTCTTGAGTTAATGCTCCTTTCCTGATTCATCTGTTTTTTTTCTATCATTTTTATAAGAAATCAAATGAAAAGACAGACTGATGAACAGCTGAAAAAAATATGAGTGAAACACAGGAACAGAATAAGGCACACCCATTTCTATAACCCAGATCTCTCTCTCTCTCTCTCTCTCTCTCTCTCTCTCTCTCTCTCTCTCTCTCTCT